CACTTGGGCAAGTCGAGCTTGCCGACTGGCCCTGATCGAGTGCACCAACTGCATGGGACAGGGCGCAGGCCCAGCCGCATGTCGACGCCATCAGATCACCGGACGGACGAACCACGAGGCAGAACTGTACGCGGCTCTCACCAAATTATTTTCCCAGCGAGCGGGCCCGCAGGGGGCTGGGTTCAGTCGGACATACCAGAGGGCAGCGATGATGTTGACGAAGCCTCGGATGGTTTCCGATCAGAGGACCTGGTGTTACTATAGCCGGCCTTGACGCCTGCGGCCTGTCAACACATGGAGCATCATGGGAACTCAGAAACGGCCCGGGAGCTCAGAAACCGTGAGGTAGCATGTGGTGATGTCCAAATCCAGGCGGCATTGCAGATGTGCCGGCGATTGCCCCATGCACAGACGTTAGAAATATCTACACGTTGTTGCATCGATGTGACCTCATCAGAGCACCAATGGCTTCTGAGAGGAATGGGGGCAGGAAAACACGAAGCCAGATCACGTTTGAGTGCTCTTGCTTATTGGAGGATATTTGCATCTTCCATTCATTGTGTTAGCGTATTGTGCTTTGTTGCTTTAGCAATCTGTCGGGTGCACTGCGACCCTGGCATAAGTGTAAATTTGACTGGTGATAGGTCGTGTGGCATCAAATTTCGAACGGAAGCGAGGGCACTTCACATGTGCGCTTTGCCTCGGTCGAGATGCGCCTAGGGTGGCAAAGAATTCCTGATTCCTAAGGCCCAAATTTTGCATGCTTAAGCCATTCAAGTTGCGCTTTTCAGATGCCCACTCACACACGAGTGTTGCAAATGCATTCACACAATGCCAGCAGAATGCCTCACACACGTGGACATAGAGCAGGGCATGGTCTAATATGTGCATTTGGAATTTTTGGATCCTATGCACTGAACAATAATGGTCATATCCAGGGCATAGAATGGTCAATTCTTCATACCTTGCTTTGTCTTGAATATAGAATTGCCATATCTGAAACACCGCCTGTCCACGTCGTGGGCATTATGTTCTTGTACTGGTCCTAGGGTAGGCTGGATCCCAGATATGAGAAGACAAGCACATGGCTTTCGAATCCAGGATATGAAAGGTTTTCAGTGCGCCAACCAGTCTTGCTGCTCAGCAAGGCGCACATGGAAGGCATTTGATCCTCCAGAACCTGGCAGTAGCTCAAGTCGGGCGAGGAACATGTAATAAGCGAATAAAGGCAGATGGTGGAGCCGTCTTCATTCATTTAATTTAAATAGTTGACCCTGTTTTGGGACTAGTGGTATTAGGTTCATTACTACACAACACTTGATTTTACAGCTTTTCTGAAAGGGCGTTGGCTGCAATTGAACCTACGGGTGTTTTTCATCACTTGCACGCCCCCAAAATGCGAGAGCAAGAACAGTGAAGCAATGTGCACATTGGGAAACTTAGTAGCCAATCCGACGCTCAAGAAGAGGAGACGTTCTGAAGCTCCGTAAGTACTGAAGGGGCTTTGTTTCATGGCCCACTCGCCGGCATGCCCTTTCACATAGGTCAGCCACTAACAACACATATGATTGGACGAGCGCTTCAGCTTATTACGTTAGGTAAATTTCCAGGCCCAGTACCTCACATAGTCCCCATTGTTAAAGCCAGTACTTTACCTCAGTACTTCGCTTCAGTGCATCATCCCTCTTGCCATCGTACGATTGCCATCGGACGCCAGCCCGGTGCTTTCCTCTGACACAGGGTCCAAACATCTGTCACCGTCATTGTCGCTTATGCACCCACTGGTTGTCACACTGAAGTAGTGCTTTAGTCTAGTGCTTCACTCCCGTTTCTGGCCCCCAAGTACTGTGCTTTCATCTTGTTCTCCCTCAATTCACACCCATGGCTTTCTTCACACAAGCTCGCCTCCTGCAACGGACGCCCAGCCAAGTCACAATGCCAGCCTTCGAGTATGCCAGCCTTCGAGCATGCCAGCCATCCAGACCTAAGCTAACTGATCTAGCCCACATGACCAAAGTGACCTCTCTTTAGCAACCTAACCTAAGTGAGCAGACGTAAGTAACCTAACCTAGTTGGCCTAATCGAACGAACCTAACATAACTGACCTAGTTTACATGGGGAAGCCCCGCTTCCACACGGCGTCCGCCCACTCATCCGATTGAATCATCGCCGCAGATTCAGGCTGCCTGGCCCCAAAGTACTGCGCTCCCGCCACAATTCCCCTGAGAGGGTGCGCCCTCGCGCAAACTACTGCCTAAAGTACTGCGGCCCCCCTCGTCCTTTTGAAAGGGGCTGCGCGTCTTTGCGCCGTGGTGGCGCAGGGACCCCGCCCTTGGCCCGCGGGGCCCAGCCGTTGACTTTTACCGCCGAGCAGTGACTTCACGTTCACTTCGCGCTGACGTTTGGCCAAGGCGTTGACTTTCCGGTGACCCTGCCGGCAACTCCCGGGGCGGGCATGGTGGGGCCCTGGCCCGGGTCGGCGAGCCGGACTGGGGCCTGAAGATCGGATTTCTTGAGCCCCGGATTCTGTCAAAGGTGAGCGGGGGCGCGTTTAAGGATGTTTCGGCGAACGCCGCCGGTGGTGTCTGGGCGGTTGGGATGCACCGGTTCGGAATCCCGGTGGTCGGCGCGTGGCCGCGTTGTTGGGCGCCCGCGGCCGTTGGGTGAGGACGTTGACGGGGTTGACCGGATTGACAGGCGGCGGTGGGCGCGGGGGGGCGGGCGGTGCAGACTTTGCTCAGCTGGCTCCTGTGTTTTGGGTCGCATTCGGTTGCCGGGGGGCGGAAAGAGGGGCTGTTTTCGCGGGCTGCGCGCCAAACCCAGCCGGGTGGGGACGGCAGCGGGGGCATGGCGGCAAAGCATCCACCTCTCTCCCCCGCCCCTCCCTCCCTCAAGGGGAAGGGTGGGAAGGTCGTGGGTATGCAGCCTCCCTGACCACATGCCTGGCAGCTTGCGGAAGCGTGGCGAATTCGATTCACCCCATCTCTGTGACCTGTCCGCGCGCCTGGCCGCACAACTATCCCTTGGCCCACTCCACGGCCGGGGCTTGGCCCCGGGTCGCCATTCCCCTCGTTCCCTCGCGTCCTCGCGCGTCAGCCCCGGCGTCGAGCCTCCCGCACTCGGCGGGGGCCCACCCCCTTAAGCCCTCACCCTCCTTCCCTCTCTTCTTTGTTCGCCGGGTCAATCGCGGGCCGCCGACTTTCCGCGCCGTGCCGCCACTCCCACCCCGCCCCCTCTAGCACAACGTCATCCGATCGCACCCAATCTCTGGGCCCGCTTGCGCCTCCCTCAGACTTTGCTCTTCAGCCTCCACTTCACGAAGAGACACCCCGGCAACGGCGACGCCCGGCAAGGCGTGTCTCCGCGTGCCCGTCTCGCGCGTGTGTCATTTTCGCGTTCGTGAGTAAGCCAGCCGCTCCACCCCTCGCTCTCCCAAACTCCTGCTGGGGCCCACTTCCCAATCTCCGCTGTTCTTCAACAGCGCCTCCCCGTCCCCGGCATCCGCCTTCCCTACACACCCGCTTTCCCCCTCATCCTTGGCAAAATCCCATCGCCTAGAAATATATGACAGTATTCCCACCCACCCCCGCCCCTCCGCCCCGAATATGCTCGCCCCAGCGCTCACCGAGTCAACGCCCGTTGGCCTTTGCTTTGACTTTTCGTTGACTTCGCGTTGACCGCCGCCGCCGGGCGCCCCCCGCGCCGCGTCCTGGGGGGGGGAAGCAAGGGATGGGGAGGCATCAGGTGGGTTGGCCGGCCAATGGCGGGGCGCCAGTGCTGTCGACCCTTGGCGGGGAGAGTAAGGTCGAGGTACAAGGTTGGCGCCGTGCCCGACGGGTGTGCTGCTGCACGCGGGCGGGGGCAGCGGTTGGCGTGTTGCCCGGGAATATCGGTGTTTTCTAAACCAACCCCTCCGCACGGTAACGTAACGCGTGGCCGTTTCTGGGGAGAAAACAATAAAATAAACAACGCTCTTTTAGTATGAGTTGTGCGGAGCAAAGTAAAATTAACAAAACAACCCTCTTAACAACAAATGCGGAGCACCAAGCGCAACAGTAAATTTGTTAAATGCGGAAGGGTTGAATATACTACAGTACACGGGTGCGGCGGCGGTCAACGTGCTGTGCGGGAATGTCTGCTGCGTTAGAAAAAGCGGGCGCTGTTTTCTTTCCTACACAAATACCGGGCGGTGTTTGAAAAAAAGCTCGCACTGGTTTTGTTTGGATCCCTGCTCGGTTGGAACAATGCTTGCTGTGTTCTGTTGACGTACATGCCAGGGTAAAAAAAGCCCTTGCTCTGTTTTTGGTTGGATGCCTGCCTGTTTGGCATCCGCTTGCTGTATTCTGTTGGAGTATCTACAGGTTTGAAAAGTTTGTGCTGTTTTGTTTGAACATCTTCCAGGTTGGGAAGCGCTCGCTGTGTTCTGTTCGAGTGTGTGCGGGGTGGAAAAGGCTTTTGCCCTTTCCTGTTTTGAATCCGCTGGGCTGAAGGAGCTCGCTCTGTTCTGAGGGAACACTGGCCGGTGCAAAACCAGCCGCTGACACTCCATTCGGACGTCAACAAGTGATTGTTGTTGCCATGCGGCTGGTTTGGTGCCCATTGGCAGTGTGTTTTTCCATCAAAAGTTTCAAAATACCAAACCCACCCCAGCCCTGAAAGAAACTGAAAAAGACTGTGGATGGACCTCGACTGAGCGCAGCTCATTTGAGCAGGCATTGTCCCAGAGCTGGTTCCTGCCAGCATTCCTTGCCCTCCACTGCCATGGGCTTCAACAGCCAACAGTGAGCTAAAATTGACTGAATTCGACGTGAGATATCGAACATCGTATACGTAAAACTTGCACATATATAAACTGAACATATGAAGAGAATGTGTGCAGGGAATAGTGTGAATTGAGCAAATTAAAAATTGATAGAGGCTACATATTGGTTCTGGGAAGTGGCAGTAATGTATGTTGTAATGGTGTTGCACAGGGTCACAGGGATTGGGGGGGGGCCGCCATGGAGTCCTCGGAGCCTCCTGGGGTGGCAGACCTCGAAGAGTTGGACGACATCTTGGAGGACGCGCGTGAGCGGCTGCCCAGTGCGCGCTACAATGCCAAGACGCTTGAGTTTGTGCTGCACCAGATGGAAAAGATGGCTCCCGTGCGGGCGTGGGTGGCGCAGGAGGCGGCGCTGGCGGCAGCAGAGGGGAGGGATGGCTGGAGGCTGGATGAGGAGTTGAGGCCAGGCTGTGGGGGCGACGGTGAGCATTAAGGGAGTTATGGACAGCTTGTGGGCAATGTGCTGAGTAAAGTAATGTGCAAAATGGTAAGATGTGTGTGAGATAGTGAGTAAAGCACTGAGCAAAGTAAGAGTACTGGGTGAAGTGCTGAGCAAAGTGTTTGTTTAGATTTGCCTTTGAAATTGAAGGCAGGGCACTTGCGTCTGGCAAGGGATGAAGGACGCTGATAGCCTGTGCCTGGTGTCCAGTTTTGACCAAGAGTGTGATTCTGGCCGGAAGCTGCCGGTTGCATTCTGTTGCTTTTCTTGTTGCACAACATCGATTTGCTGGGAGCGGTTACTTAGTGTTGTGGACCATGATGATAATCGTGATTCAGTTTTGATTGTGCTCATTACAAAATAATCAATATAAATCAATATAAATCTCTGTGATTGATGTGGTTAACTGATCGTGCAGTTTCTGACTGTGCTGGTGTTGCCGTTTTTGCCACCAGCCCATGGCGGAAATAAGGACTGCCCACTGGTTTGGTGGCGTCGGCTTAAGGATGCGCTACGGCGTGGGGAGCGGCTCATCACACGGCACACATCACCAGTGCACAGTGGGAAGTTCAGCAGGTTTGTTTTGTGTCCCATTGCCTTCTTGCTCACTTGTAGCTGCTCATGCTTACGCTGTTCCCTTCTTTTTCCTTTCTTTGCTTGAAAGTGCGTTTATCCTCTGCAAGCGACAGTAGCTTGGACGCTGTTCCACATGATATGTTTTCACGTTTGGGCACAGAAGTACTCCTATTGGCGCGAAATTATGTATTCATGTTTGCACAGGAAATGTCACGTTCATGTTGGCATATGAAGTATGTCTGTAGTGAACAAGTATCTCAGATATCTTTGGGGGCAGAGAAGGGCGATTTCTGTATGTACCCACTTTGAAGTAATGGGCAGTTCCTCAGTGGTAAATCATATCAAGAGGTATCAAGCACCTGTATTCACTACAAAGCAGTGACAATTCCACGACAGGAAGTTACATGGAGTGGCAGTTGGTTCATAAATATGTTCAACTGCTGCTTGCCAGGTTCAGCGTGATGAGGAATGAGGCCGAGGGCGTGTGTCGGGAGCTGAAGCGGTGCGTGGCACTGTTCGCAGCAGCCAACCTGCACAATGAGCCCTACGAACCCATCAAGACGGTGGTGGACACGAAGTGCGTGGTCGAAGACAAGGTGTACCTGTACTACTACCTTGCCCTGGTCGTCCAGGAACTGAGCGAAAACAAAGAGTGAGTTCTGGTCAGGGTGTGATCGCATCTGCATCTTCATTTGATTGGTGTCCACACTATTCATGGAGTTTTCTGAAAAGACAGTGCAGTGTCTTTGGAAGTTGATTGATAGTCATGATCTCATTTTCTCGATTTGTTCACGGTGCACAATACACATATGGAACTGCTCCGTACTCTGGCCGAGCTGAATTCTGCATATTGCTGAGTTTATCTTGCGAATATCACAAGCATGGGAAGGCATGCCGCTGGGCACTGTGGACATACACAGGGCGATGCCGTTGCTTGAAGAGCAGAAAACAGAAAGGCAATGCGCTGCATGCAGCCTTGGCATCACTGTCAACTTCTGGCCCTCACATGCCCACCCATACTGTTGCCAACCCCTTGCCGGAGTGCACGTCCCCTTGTTGTTCATCATGCTGTGCAGTGTGCAGTGCAGATCGCGCTGTTGTGGTCAGACACTGGTGTGTAGCCTCCAACAGCATGGAGAACACCTAGAGCATCCCACAGTTCAGTGCCCAGTGTAGACAGCGTGGCGGAATGCAGCGGTCCATTTCTTAAGCAGACAACCATCCAGAAACAAAAAGGTGAAAGCGAGCAGAAAAGAGCATCGTGAAAGCTATATAAACAAGACTTCTAGAGCAAGGTGTAGGTTGCATAGCAGCAATTGAATGTTCACAAAGACAGCACAATAGGATGCACAGATACAGAAATTTGGTGAGGGACTGGAAGAACAACATAGGTCGTTGGAAGGTGCTCCAGTGAGGCTCAGCTTCCAGAATTGTCAATTCCTGTGCAGTGTGTTGGGCAGCAAGCCTGGCAAGCTGACACCTAAGAAACAGTTTTGTGTGCGAACTGCTTTCTGCTATGTAGCACACCCTCCCTGAAGAACACTGGTTTGCACGAATGGCCATCCAAGCATGGAAACGTGCTTTCAAGCACACCAGCATGGGCAGCCCACCTCTTGAAAGGGGCAACTTGCTGCGCAGGTGGTTGGGCAGCAAGCCTGGCAAGGTGGTGCATCGTGAGTGGGAGTCCATGCGCTCAGAGCACAGGAAACGGCGCCAGCACCTGGCCTGGATAGACGACAGCACAATCGAATCCCTGCAGCGTGAGGGCAAGGTGGGTCACAGTCCCTTGTTTTCGTTGTGTGTGTGTGTTTTGCTCTTCAAAAACAGATGCGCAAGTGATAATTCGCTTTTGATGCTCTGCACTGCATTGCTTTTGCTGCTAATCACCCTGGGAAATGCAACGGACAAAACAGGGAAAAGACATAGAAAACACGAAATCTATGATGAAAAGAGCAGCAAGGTATGTTGAAGCAGGCTTTCATAGCCATTCGGCTGTCTTTTCTGATGATACTCACTGCAGTAATGCGGCCACGGTTGCTCATCTGAATGGCGATCATGAGTGAACAAATAGCAAGCAAAAGACAAAAGCCTCAGTAGTGTCCATCTTCATCGCCCACCATTCCTCATCCCCCTCCAGGTGATCGACGGTGGCTGTGGCCTCGTTGTGCGCGCCCTCTGGAAAGACGTCCACGTGGTCGTCAAGACCTACATAGACGTCGCCCGGGAACTGTCCCTGGAGGCCAAGGCCTCATTCTTCGCCAGCATTGAGATCCAACGCTCGATGGCCTGCGCCCACGTTGTGCGTGTCTTTGCGGTGTCCCCCGCGGGCGTCGTGCTCATGGAGCAGGCCAAGTGCAATCTGGCCGGGCTGTACATGGATGCAGCGGAGCTGCCGTGGGTGACAAAGTGCCAGCTGCTGCTGGAGGCCGCCAAGGGGCTGAAGTTTGTGCACGAGCGGGGCATGCTGCACGGTGCCGTGAAGAGCTCCAACTTCCTCATTTTTGGGAGTGGGCTGGGCGACTTCACCGTTAAGGTCTGGGCGAGGTGACGATGTTTGGGCCACCAGTCTGGGTCGCTGCTGTGTGCGGTGTTCTGAAGTGCTGAAAAGTCCTTCGTGTTTGCAAAGTATGGCTCTAAGGCACTGGTTGGCAGGTGAAAGGCTTGTCTGCACTGATTTTCGGCAGCAAATGTCCAAATACAAGATTTCTGTGTTGCCCACCAGCACCTTGGGGCAGTATTTTTTTGAGCAGTAGTTTCATGGCAGTGCGGGGTATTTGCAATCCACTGTACTCTGAAGTACTGTGGCAGTGCGAAGTGGCATGAAGTACCAACAACTCGAACATGTGCATGCAGTACCCAACCAAAGTACAGACGAGCTGGCAAAGCTCTTGAGCTTCACCATTTTGGTAGCTGGGTGTGTGACTTCACTGCAACTGTCCAGGACAGATGTCACAAGCAATATCCATATAATCATCTGGAGCCTTGGAACTTGCTGTTCGTGCTTGCAAAGTTCTGCTCTAAAGTACTATCGGTGAAAGAGACTCTCCAAAGCACTGTCTTTACTCCTGAAGAGTTCAAACTCCCTCATTTTGGGTAGCTGGCAGCACAGCCTTGCCATTGTGTCCTGTTTTGTCATGCCACTGTTCTTGCCATTCTTTTTGGAGCTCCTTTCTGATGCTTGATTTGGCACTTAAAGCAAAATACGCGACTTTTCTTGTGGTTTCAAACTACTTGAACTGCTAATAATGCAGTCTGCACACAAACAATCCCACGAAGAACTCAGGCTTCTGGATTTCGGACATCTTCTTGGGCATCTTCATGCCGAACGTCTGTCCAAAGAGGTGCCGTTAGGCAGCTCTGGACACCTCAAAGGCACTGCTTCCAGTGGCCACTATTTGCTAGGAACCGCCAAGGCACTGCTCACGTTCAGTCTCCCTTCCCTGCTGACAAAGTGTTGAAAGCTCCATCCCAAAGTACCAGGCCCCTTGGTTGATGCGGAGGCTTCTGACCTCTGTCGATCTGGTCCGCTTCCAAAGCACTGAGGGCCCCCTCCAACACTGCTCTAAAGTACCCCTGTTGGCGACTACTGGTCTAAAGCACTGGCACTCTATGCTTGCACAGGTCTCGGACTTCGGCATGGCGGTTGTTAAGTCTGAGCTCCTGTGCAAGAAGACCGCGCTGCAGCACAGCTCATCGCTTTGGGCTGCACCCGAGGTGCTTGAGGGTGGGATGGCAACTATGGCCAGCGATGTCTTTGGGCTGGGAGTTGTTATGTTCGAGGTCGTCTCACAGGTGGGAAACAATATTGATTGATGTTGTTTTGGTGAAGGCATTGTACTTTAAACAGGTTTTCATTAAACCCTGTTGCTGTTTACATAGCACAAATACGTTGTTGTTGTTGTTGCTGTTGCTCCCATTCTAAGGATGCTGAGCTACTGATGTGTATTCCCAGGTAGGGAACAGTGGTAGTTGAAACAATGTGTTTTTTGTGTCATTGCTATTGTAATTACTGTCTTAATGTATAGTGTTATATTGTTCTTATTGCAGTTAGTCTTGACATGTGCTGTACGAAGCAAACTAGCATTCGCAGTATGTGCTGCCTAACCAGTGCTTTGGGTCAGTATGGCCAATGACGTCGTTGGCACTCCTGTTGTCAAATTCAAAGTCTCATCAATTGTGGGAATTGTTAAAGTCACTCATTGATTATTTGAATTGGCATCTATCAGGACCTTTGCCAATCTGAGCAAAGGAAATCCCCTGTAAGTGTGTCCTCATGACAGAAGGTCTGTGTCATGACATTGCTTTTAATGTAACAAGTTCCTACATGCGTTTTAAAACATGAGTGCATGTATGAAGCGCACACTTAAGTTGTGTATAGGCGTGTATACGCTTATGTGTAATGGATGATATGGATAAAAATAGAGAGTAGACATGTTTCAATAACATTAAGAAGGCTTGATAGATTTGCATTGTGCCACAGAAAGGTATCACCAGACCTGCAGCTCTGCCAAATAAGGCACTCTTCGAGGCTATGCTTGCACTCACCTCGCCTACGCAGCTGTCGTTTATGCTTGTTATTGTCATGTTTGTATTGTGATGTATTTGTTGCACTGCTCGCAGAGGGCTGCCTACCTGAATGTGGGATCACCAAAGCTCCTGCTGGGGCAAAAGAAGCGGGGGGAAGATCCCTGTGCTGTGCCCCATGATTGCCCAGAGCAGCTGATGGACTTGATGCGGCGGTGTGTGCTGCCAAATCCCGAAGACCGGCCTTGCATGGAGAACGTGGTGCTTGTGCTGAAACACATATGCCAGATGGTATGTGATGGTGTGCCTCCCGTCCAAGCGCAATGCACTTTGTCAAGCCACAGGGCTGTGTTGTTTGCTGCTAGATATTGGATTCAAGTCTTTTGCCCTTTGTGTTGTGGCTTTCGGAAGATTGCGGTTGCATGGAGAGCATTGTGCTCGTGTTTGAGCCTTGCATGCCAGGTGGTGGGTGACACAGCAGTGTGTACTTTTCAGTCCAGCCTGTTTTTATAAGCCTGGTGTGCCTGTTTGAGCCCAAAGTGTTTTTTCAACCCAAAGATGTGTGTCGTTTAACTGTTGCTAGTTGTTTTAGCCTTCTGCCCTTATGCTGAGGCTTCTGGAAGAGCAGCCCTGCACAGGCTGTGCTCTCTGCACAAAATGTGCTGGATGTGATGGCATATAGTTCCCATTACTCAGGTCACTCTTTATGACACAGTGGGTGCATGACACAATACTTCACAGTACTTGCTGTAGCCAGGCTGCTCGAAAGGGTGTCTTGGCTGCATCTGTGTGTGCATGCAAGAGCATTTTATGCAACTTTTGCACAATGATTGTGACAATATGGTTTGTGAATTGTGTTGTTTTGTGCTGTGCCAGTCGACTTGTAGCAGCCGCTCAGTGAGCCGCAGGCGCCGCTTTTATGTCGTGGAAGCCCCGGTGAGTGGCATGTAACATAATGTTGGTAACAGTTCCCAACCTTCCCAGCACCCACAGTCACAATTGTATCCAATGCGCTGTTTCCTGTGCACACAGCACTGTACTGTACTCCAGCAAGGGTACTGTGTGCACAGCACTGTGCAGTCATGGGCGGTAGTTGGTTGTGTTTTGTAAACTTGGGTTTCGGACAATTTGCTGTCAAGTTGCAGTGCTCATGGAGTGTTGTGTCATCTTTGCAATGCCACAACAGTGGGCACATATCAACTTTCAGATGGCATGGGCATTGTATTCAAAGCCATCCATCAGGAATGCAGAGCACGGGCATGCAGCATTGTGCCACTTTGCTGGCATCATTGGCCTCATGGCTTGCCCAAATGCGGTACCGACAATGACGGTTTTAAACATGTTGTAGTGACTGCTTCCATTGTCAAGATCCGTTGTCATGCCTAATGATGTTGCTGTGCCTGACATTCCCACAGGCACTGCCAAGTATGCTCTACGGATCGAAGTCATGCACTTCAAGAGCATCAGACCAGTCGATGCAGTCCGACAGAATCCTGGCCGTGTCAAATGTGAGTACTGAACAACTGGACGTAGTGTAGTGCTGAAGTACTACCCAACTGCTTTGTTGCTTTGCATTGGCGCAATGCTGGAGTACCCTATAGTACAACACTCATTTCTGCTCTGTGTTGATATACTATTCACCCAGCACAGGGCCAATGTCCATGGCTTTACCACTGTTGTAATCTGATGCTGTGCTCGGGTTTTTCTTGCCATCAGGGGCTCCATTGCCTACAAGTGCTTCCACAAGTTTTGTTGGAATCTCCGTTGTTACACCAAGAACGCAATTTTGTGCTGGTGTCTTCACCTCTCCTCTTGTCTGATTCTGACTTACCTGTTTCTCATCATTAGGACTCTGGCATCAATTTTCGCGACATCTTCACCAACTCCCGTGACGATGCGACTTCAGGTGGTGGCTGGAGTGTCATGAAAAAGGACAAAGGGAAACCTGGAGGGGGATGCCCGGTGAGCTTTTGTAGTCCTGCCCTGAAGCTTGTTGCGGAACTTGTTCTTGCAGTACTTGCAGTACTCTACTTGAAGGACTTGTGCTTGCAGTACTTCCTGGTATTTTGCAACACAGACGACTGTCCCAGCAGGCCAAGCACCTGTTCTCTAGGCTTGTGTGCTGTGGCATCCTTTGGGAACATTGAAAGGTGCTGGTCTGTGTTGCTGTGGCAAATGTGTGTGACGAGTTTTGTGACTCAGTACTGTGGAGTACAGTATTTGTGTGCTGCAAAGTACTCCATAGAGCCGCAGCAGCCAGTGCATGGAAACACTATTGGGATAATTTGCGTCGACAAAGCAGTGTTCCCAGTTGTTGTTTGTTGCACCTTTGAAACACTGCTATGTTGCCATTTCATTGTGTTAGCTATCCTGAATACTATGTCGTTGTTGCTGTTAGACAGAGCAACACAATCAAATGCACATGTATACCTACAACAAAAGGCTACAACAGTGTATGTATTCTCCTCTGGGGGTCACAAATCATTGACCTGCCGTCACCCCCTTGCAGATGCCCCCGACCAAGTGGGCCGGCCTCCAGACGGACATTATCTCGGCCATCGCCCGGAAGCTGCCCAAGGAAGACCTGCGGAAGCTGCGCCTGGCGAACCGTCACTGGTGCACTGCCCTCTACAGCACTGTTGAGCACATCGAGGTCTCCCAGGAGGCCTTTGGTAACCTCGGCACCGACTGGGTCAGCAATCTCGGCAAGTTCCGCCACCTGCGCAGCCTGCGCCTGCCGGCGATGACTAACCTCGAGTTCGTGGCCCCAGGGTGCCAGTCAGCATCATCATTTCTGTTTCTTCGCACGGAGGAGCTGTCGCCATTGCACAATCTACTGAGCCTGGATCTGCGGTACAGCGAGGTCGAGGACTGGCACCTGAACAGCCTGGAAGACCTCACCAAGCTGACAAAGCTCAACCTGTCGCACTCGCGGATCACCAATGCAGGGCTGCGCTCCCTGTCCTCGTTCAAGGCGCTGCAGGACCTGGGGCTGGGCCACACGATGGTGGGTGACGGCGCGATGAAGTACATCGCTGAGCTGTCCAACCTGCACACCCTTGAGCTGGGGTTCACAAAGATGCGCTACTGGGGCATGCAAGGCCTGGGCAGGCTTCGCAGGCTGAAGAGCCTGGGGCTGGGCGGGATCGACCTGTGCGGGCGCGGCGCCGGGCCGCTGTCCAAGCTCACCCACCTGCAATCCTTGTCTCTCGTTTTTGCAAAGGATCTGGACAATGCTGCGATGATTTCACTGTCGCGGCTGTCAGAGCTCGAGGTGTTGAACATGGGGCTGACGGCAGTGGGGGACAAGGGAGTGGCGGCTGTGGCGGGCTTCGCACCGTGGCTCGAGACATGCGACCTGCGCGGCACAGCTGTTACGGATGCAGTGGGCCCCTCGCTGGCATTGATGACTAACCTCAAGTCACTGCACCTGGGTGACACTGCGGTGGGGGATGGGATAGTGGGCCACTTGCGGGGGCTGGAGCGGCTGGAGAGCGTGGTGCTGGCAGGCACACAAGTCGGCTCAGAGGCCGCACAGCAGCTGGTAGAGCTGCCGGCACTGAAGTTGCTGGGGATGGGGTAGGAGTTCTTAGAGCAGGTCAGGATTTGTTGCAGGAAGAGACCGAGGAATAGGTCATGCACAGGGCAACCCCTACGAAGCAAGTGCATGCAAGACTCTGTGCCAGGGGGCGGGGTAAGAGCGGTGTGGTGTGGCTGTGGCACAGCCTGGGCTGCCATGGCATTGCTGCATTCCCACAGTGTGGCAACCTGTGGCAGTCATGCTGTCGATCTGTCGGACAATGGCAATGTACTGTCACAGTGGCTTGTGTGGCCATGACACTCTTGTACTGCCATGTAGCACTGTCTTGCCAGCATGACAGTGTGGGTTTGGCAGTATGGTGTGGCCTAGGTGAGATGTGCAGGGGAAATGCATCTGTGTGCCTGTATTTGCCCAAGCAGGCCTGTTTTGGCTCGGAGAGTATCTGTTTGAGCTTTTCAGCCAACTCAGCCAGCTGGCAAATCGTCAGTGTGCAGTACAAGTACAGTACAGTTGCAGCACAATGACATCGTGCTTTCAGTACAAGACAGTGTGGGCAGCCCTGCCATTGTCTTGAAGGCGATGACGGATGCAACGGGATCGTTGTGGTGTGGATCGGCGAATGGCAAGAAATTCATCTTCAGTGTGGAGCACTGACCAGATCTGCACATGATTCAACAACAGCGCGCGCAGCAGACCAAGGACACCAGAGTTGGGGATTGTATTTTCGTTGTCGCTTTTGATACCTCTTAGCAGCAAGGATTTGTTGATTGAGCCGCTATGGGTGCCACCAGGGGTGGCATGTGGGGCCTGTTCCGGTGCAAGGAAGCCACATGGAAGCTGTCCCAAGTGAGCAAGAGAGATTTGGGGGAAGGCAGGTTGGAAGCAGAGAGTTTCATAGTCACTTGGGTGGTATGGGAGACTGCGAAGCACTGGGGGGATTTGTGTAGGACCAAAAAGTTTGGGCGCTGCACACTACAGTTGCAAGGCACTGGGTCCGTTGTGGGCGACGAGTGGCATGGAATGCACACCAAATGGTGCTTGCACCACACGCACTGCAGGCTTCATGATTCTTTTGTTCTCTGCTCCGCTCCTTTCATGCAGTGTTCCCAGGCGATGGGAATCAAGCGGGGGAGGACGCTGTGTGGGTGTTTTTTCGCTTGGGGCGCTTTTGTCATGAGATGGAGGTTTTACTTATGAAAAGGATTTTGACAAACGACAAGGAAGGGTGTGCGGTGGGCAGCCAGTGCTTTTGGACATCCCAAGCAAGTGTTTTCTTTTCCTTTTCTTATTAGCCCTGGTCGCTTCTGCCGGGCCTCCCTGTTGCCCACTACTGCGGTGATGTACTGTAGTACTTAACAGGTGGTCGCCGATCGCATAGATGCCCGATGGTGTTGCATGTGCCGTTTGCAGAATGAGCCAAGAGAACCTTGGCCTGTTTGGCGCAAGTGTGGGGCCAGCATGAGTTTGATTGTTGATTCTGAAAGTCAGCCATCGAGGCATCCAGTACACAACAAATTGTCTGCGTCAATCCGATTGGCGGCCTATTGTTGGAGGCGCGTTCTTGTCCTAATTAGGAACGCAGGGAATAAGGTCAAGACTGGATGTGGGGTGATGCAAAGCTCGAATAGACCAGGGGGCCGCACTCTGCGAAGAGTGTGACTGTAGACCCGGCATTTGATGGAATTTTAATGCGACCGTTGTATTGATTGTGTTTTACATTGGTTGTGCATTGGGTTGGCGCGACTCGGTCCACACATTGGCATTTACATCCTACGTCCCATATTAATTGTTGTCTGTGATTTTCAGATGTTGTTTCTCTATCGTGCCTACATCAGTTTCAATGACATTTACCCTAAAGTTGTGCTTGTGAGGTCGGGGAAAACTCTCAAGTTGATCCATTAAGTTTTGAGGATTTGACAGTACTTTGCAGCAAGGATCCTCTGGCCAGAAAAGGGTCGTTTTTGGACCTTGTGCCGAAGTAAATTACTTCTAGTGTAATATATGCTGACTTATGCAAGGAGCTCCCCCGTAAATCATAAAGTACAATAGGATCCTTTTGCTGCAGAAGCCAATGTAGGGTCGCAAACAATAAGAAGAAGGCATCAATATTCATTCACTGTTCAATATCCATGCGGATGGGCCATCCTAACCATTAGAGAAAATATCAGGAAGGAGAGAAAGAGTTCGTCGGGTCATATCCCAAATGGCTCATAGTATATTGAAGCGTCGCAACATATCCCGTGTTTGTTGCCCTCTCTGACTTCCAGCATCGATCACAACCCTATCAATGTAAATAGAAGTCTCTCTCAATGTTTGAGTAGCTCAACATGCCCATCAAATAGTGTGCATAAGCTGGGCGAAGAAAGTCGTCCTGCTCCAAAAAGATAAACCCAATTCCAGCCACCATGGTTATGTATCATGGCTATGGGTCATGGTCATGGTTACTATGGTTATGTGTTACGACACATGGGTATGTGTCAAGTAACGGATCTCATTGGTCAGTCGCTATGGCAAAAGAGCAAAATAGGGACAATGAAAAAGCCCATGGTTTCTGTCATCTATAAGACAGTGGCACCATGTGCATTGTAATCATTAATAAGGTAGAAATGGTGTAGGGTATTGGTTTGTTGGTGTCGCTGCCCTATCGGCGGCCACTGATTTTTGAAAGGATCACCCTACCCTACAACATGGCCATTGAAGGTTGGCCGTCCTCTCCACCTTGGACAGTGGTCGTATTCGGAGATGGTCACTCCTGTAATCATGTCGTGGGCCCAATGCTCAGCGGAGATCAACCCCATAGTCTGGTGTCAATAAAAGGTGGTGGCATAGTGAGATGGCTGTTTGCTGCTCGCGGGGTCCTAGAGAGTGGGCCACAATCGAGTTGCAAAATTCCATGCATGCACCGCACATATCCATATGCACGATGCCTGATCATGGGTCCATCACTATCACGTCAAGATAAGACAACACACAATGCACATTAGGCACAACCACCATCTCATGTTCACCCCATTGACCCGCCTGACTCCCGATACTATGTAGGTCACCAATAATAAGAGCATTAACGCCTTGTAATGCGACCCTCAGTTGTGTCAAATTGGTGCTCCGTGAGGCCCAGATTGCCTTGGCAAGGGACTCCAGTACGTGGGAGCCTTGACCATTGGAGCCAGTGGCCATGAGTGGGAATCGTGTAGCCATCGGGGATTATCAGGCAACATCAGACTGACTAACTATGGCCATTGGGCCCAAATATGACGGCAACAACTAGGGCATACTCATGTAACCCTATACAACTAAGAATCCCAGATGCGGAAGCACACTCGAAGCAACAATAGTCCCAAAAGTCCCTGCACCATCTCCGGAAGTGCTCGTCCCTATGCCACAACAAGGGACAACTCCTCTATTCGGTGACCATTGCGTGCAACTCAGGGGCTGGGCAGGAGAGGCCCTACTGTGTGAAACTAGAGCAATGCCGATCGCTGTTTTGGGCGGCTCCATTTCTGACCATGGGCCGGCGATAGGGGGATCCAGCCACACAATGGCGAACAAAGTCCGTGCAGGCCTAGCCCTTTCCTACTGGGGTAGTTGGACCGCCTCACCTCAGCCTTTCCTTTTGCTTGCATAGTTTCCATTTGGAAGGGGCTGCATGTCTTTGCCCCCACTCTGAATGGCCATGACCCGGACTGGTGGGTCGCATCGGCCCGGACGCTTGCACGCAACACAATAGGCCAACCCGAGCAATCTAAGCTAGTGGGTTTATGGAGCAGGAGCCGGACGCCGATCTGACTAGCAATGGTTTGCGGCGGAGCTTTGGAAAAAGAAACACACCGGCCCAGGACCCTGGTCAGGGTCATGGGGAGCGATGGGGAGTGACGGGCGTGGTGACCTGGAGGATGGTGTTCACAGTGACTCAAAGGGGGTGCGGATGCGGATTTTGGGATGGCGGCATATCGAGGATATTGTTGGCAGTATGAATCGCTGTCAAACGCCCTTGTATGTTGGGAGAGCTATGGGTGACATGGATAATGGCGTGACTGGAAGTAAGCTTATTAGAGGGTGCTACGCACACTGGCCTGATGTGGGGGACGCCCTGCCCAAGATATGGTAACGATACCCCAAACAGCTTATACGATAGTATATGATATGGGAGTAGGTTGGGGTGGTCCTGCCTAGGTCCCCGTAAGGACCTAGGTGCCTAGCGAGGTGGGTCCACGGCTCAAAGAGGGTAGGAGCCCCACACCAACAATCTACACGTATCATTTGGTTTTGGAGCCACCTGAGGGCCCACCGGCTTCGACTGCAAGCGAAGATTGGGATAGCGGCAAGCGACGCTATCCCCGGCCTCCTCCTCTATGGAGGCCGAGGAGTCAGAGACCACAGCCCGAGAGGGCGAGACTGTGGAAACGGTCCAATCTGCACCCCGAGAGGGGGAACCGGCAACTGGGGCCGGTGAACGGGAGAATGTAGCCCAAGAGGGCGAGATGAGCAGAGAAGCAATCCGAGAGGATAGGCCGGGGACGTCAGCAAGCCATGCACTGGAGGGAGCTCAAGACCAGCTTATGGGCAAAGCCGAGGCAACGGCAACTGAAGAAGTGGCGGATTCTGACGTGGTGGCTACCCTACTACATGCCCAAGAGTCATGGCCTTCTTGGAGAAGATGGCTGCATCTGCTACAACCAGGGCACAAGAAACCCACGATCAGGACACAACAACCCGGGTCGCACAGCTGAAGATCGCTGCGGCCTCGGCGCAAAAAGAAGCCAGGCGACATGAAGTAGCCCTAAAGAAAGCAAAGGAGAAAAGCCGAGAGGCTGATGTTGCACGTGCTTCTGCGGAGGAGCATGTAGCCGCTCTGAGCGACTGGCTGCTCAAACAAAAGGAGCGAGTGCGAGAGGCTGAGGAGCAGACCGCGCAGCAGTCCATCGGCCAACATTACAGGCCCATCGGCAAGAACCCCCGAAAAACGGGTGAGATTGCAGGTGTACATTAAGACACCGAGCGATGGCAAATGGATAGCGGAGAGTCGCTCACTGAGAGCGCCC